TGTTGAGGTGCCACTGGCAGAGGATCCAGAAAACAACCCATCATCTGTGCTTCAAATCAGCATTGACCATTTTTAAGCAATGCCCACTGCAATGGCTGCAATAAAATCTAGAGAGACCCTCAAAGCTGAGCATTTCAGTTGAAATCATCAAGTCTCAGATGTTGCAGCTGCAGTCCGTAACACTGACACAAAGCAGAAAAAGGAATCTTTTCCAGAGGCGTGCGAGCAGCCTAAGGGATACATTCTACCTGACGTCCAGATTCACTAGTGTACTCTCTTTCCAGGCACTTCTGTAAAACAGCAAAATGCATTTAAACAATAATCCAAGTAATGCTAATACAGTCCATTGCAGCTAGTTACAAAGGCATTGCTTAAATGGGAAAGCAGAGGCATTTGGACAATACATTGGATTACAAAATACACCAAAGCAGAACTTCTGCTCTGCACCCTGCTGAGAATCAGAAGAAAAGACCAGAAGTAGAGACATTATTTTCTGCATCAGCAGTCAGTTCTGTTCTCAACAGTAATGGAAACTGTCATATGGTGCAGCCTTGGAGCACCCACAATTAACGCCTTTGTGCTCTCTTTGAACAAGGATTCAGGCAAGCGACAGTGAACTTTGCATCAAAGGAGAAAACAAATAAACAAATAGCCTTAAAGAATTTCATTTAAGTTGAATAAGAGAGTTGAATGAATTAAGAGAATGAAGTTTCACTTTCTTCAGGTGTTTGAAGAAACAATTGCAAACTACAAACAGGGGCAGGAAACAATAAACAAGGCTTTAATGGCAACATCTCCTCATGGAAATCACCCAATCAGTCTTTGGACTAAAGCCAATGGCTTTCATTTTCGTTCTGTTCTAATTTCCATGGACACATCAACATGCAGTCATTACACAAAACACACAAAGCACAGACATGTCCAATTCAAGCCCTTCAGTAAAACACATCTACACAGTGACAAGTGCAAGTGTATTGCCATGTGAAAGACTAGACATATTTATACAGATGGGGACCACATCTTCCTTTTAGTAGTCAAATCTCTCAGAGTACTGTTGTAAACCTTTCTCCACTAATGCCAGAACATTGCTTGACTTTCTCAAAGAAAAACTAATCAAAAGAAAGCCTAAAAAAAATCAGGAATATAAAAAGCTAAACAAGGATGATGCTGGAAATTAAAGATGCACAAGCACTATGGAGGTACTGGGGATTTACACTGCAGTATACCTCTATTCATATGCAGCACTGGATTAGCCTAACTTGAGTTGTGACCAATTGAATCGTGACTGACTACATCTACACCTGGGTTTAAACAGCTGAATTTATCTATCTTAAATGCACATATTCAATTTACATGGATTTTTTTCTCTGACTGCTCTAATCCCAAAGAATAAGTTATTGCACAAAAAGAGGTAGTGCACTCAAAGTAATGATTTTTTTTTTATGGCAGAATAGTAAATCAGCAAAATAAGAAAATATCAGTTACATATAAAGTAAGAAATACCAGTAAAACTTTTTCATATTGTAACTTCTTCTGGGGAAAAAAAACTTAGTTAGCTCCTACTGGCTGCAGGGCAGGTTTATGCTTTCAGGACTAGCAAACACAACTGTTGGCAAAATTCCTTTTTGTGATGCTTGGGAATTTCAGTCAAACAGGAGAATTTTTTACTCCTTTTTTATAAGAATAACACCGTGTTCAGGAAAGGGACGGAGCCAGGCCCATCACTGGTTACTTCACAGACAGATGGAAACAATCAGTGGTACAAAGTTCAGGTAAGTATTAAAGCCACTCATAGTAAAGGCACGAAGACTTCCAAAAAGTAACACTTGCTGAATTAGTGCTAATTTTCATTCCATTTTAAGTGACTATGCACAGGCAAAGGGACTTTTCTGCAGTTAGTCTCTCATACTGATATTTAAATGAAGATAGTGAGTGGCAAATGCCTCAGGACATTGTTAATATCAGTACAAATAAGAAATGCATGTATGAATAAAACTGACTTCAAAGTGGCCTGGAGTTACTGGCAGTTCCTGACAAGCCAAGAGTATAAATAAAGGTACTCAGCATGTAGAGCAGTTCACAAGCTATACATCTGCATTACAAGTAATGCAGATGTTGCAAGAAATTCACCTACTGTAGCGTCTGTTTTGCATTATTAACGTCTCAACCAGGGTAAGGTTGTAAGGCTAAGGTTGAAAGGAACACATACAGGTCAGGAAAGTACCTTTTTATTCAGGTACATAAAGACACCAGGATAATGCTGTTTTCCCTCTGAGTGACTGAAGCTGTTTAATTTCCTATCTGGCAGTTACTTGACACACACTTGTCACAAACATACTGCCAGTGGAGTAATACTTTAGGCCATCCTTCTGTTTTGAGTAAAAGCAGATTTTATGACAATGCAATGCCACACCACCTCTGTTTCAGTCACACTGTATTTATTCAGTGCTACGATGACTGCTAGCTCCTTATGTTCCTTCAAGAGAATGGGACAAAAACGTTCAGCCTCACAGCATTTCAGTTAGTTTCTCTGCTTTTATTAACAAGCATATAATATTCATTGGCAAAACACTGGATACAAGCTTCACTATCATAAAATCAAAACATTTAAGCATTAATCCCCAAAAGGCTTATTCAGACAAAACTAGCCACCAGTAGTACAGAAATTACACAGCAACACAAAGCATAAAAAATTGTAAACTTTTAAATGAAGCTAAGCCAAAAATATGGTTTTACACTCTGACAGTTCCAGAATCTTTATTATGCCACATATGAGGATAAAAGGCTTAGTGGTTGCACTGGCTAATTGTCCCTTAACTGCAAAATGATCCTGTTTGCAGAAGGAAAGAACAAACTTTCCTTTTGTCCAGATAAGTCACTTGAATTAAAGATTCCATCAAACCAATACTTTCCATTTCAAACAGAAATAACAAAAATAGTGGAGTATCAGTACTCAAAACTCAGGACTTCTTCCTTCAGCCATACTTCTGTTTGAATGAATGATCCCACTGGTTTCTGTGGAACCATCCAGGTTATTACTAAAGTTACCAATGTAAATGTTCATAGAATTGGACATGCAGTTCCTACCCTACGACCAGGACATGCACAGGTCATTGTGGCTTCAAAAGATTTCCAAAAAACTCTTAAGTAGGATAAAATATGGAACAAATAGTAGAGTCATACCTTTATTTTGTATATAAATAAACAGGTAAAACATTACCTGTTGATTTGCCACAAGACCCAAGTTCCTAGGTAATTTTTGTCCTGACTGCAAATTTTGATGAGAGCAGAGACTGAAGCATTGTTCCATGTTCTTTAGTATTTTTCTCTGCAACTTTTTCTTCAAAAATGGATCTCAAGACTCAAGTAGCATCTAGTTGTATCTTATGTAGGGCGATTCAAGCGTGGAACAATTTCTGTTACCAACTTTAGGCAGACTAACTAAAGTTGCATTAATGTTTTCAGTGAAACATCCAAACTGAAGTGATTACCTGAGGAAAAGCAGAAACTTGATTTTTCTGTTCAGTAAAGCCTTCTGTACAAAATGTGTACCTAAGATTCATCTCACTGATGTACAGACTGGTTGGCTTTTTCCTATTATCTTTATCTCAATGTAATATTGAGAATGCTGTAAAACAGCAAGTTATATTTATCATCTAGTACAAAAAAAAAATCTGTATATCCCCTAGGACTGTGTTGTTATAAAGACAATAAGAGCCAGATAAGCTTTCAAAGGCTCATAGCCTACTGGAAAAAATAGCACCATCATAGTTGTAGTCTGATATTTTTTACGGTCCCATATCTCCTGAGTGACAATGTTGTGTATACTATTGCACAACCACAGAAAAAAATATTCCCAGGTGTGATGGTACACAAATATACCAGACCTAACAATGGCACAAAACATTTTCAGATAGGCTGCAAGTCTTGTCAATTGCTTCCACAATTCACATTAAGGTTTCTTGCAAGATCGTTTATTTTAAAATATTGCTGACAGATAGTTCTTGTACTTACAGAAATTTTAAATCCCCCATTTCACTCGTAAAATAAAAAATGGAACAAAGCATAAAACACACACACCCACCCCCAAATAACAGCCCCAAATAAAACTCCATTTGAACAAGTGAGAAAAGCCATCTACATTCCTTTTAAATGTAATGGTAAGTAGATGCTACATTTACAATTTAAACATAAGCCTAATAAATGCATGTTTCAAACCTATTGCACAAAAGCATAAGTAATGCTCTTTATCCATACAAAACAAAAACATACAGATGAAAGCTACTCAAACTCAATGTAAAAGGAAGAAGCTTGTAAAAACATCTTACAATTTCAATTTATATGCCCGTAAATAAAGCTGGACCACTAAAACCAAAAATACTTGGATGGTAAAATAAGACAGAAGGCTTAAAATAGAATAAATAATTTTATAAAGTTAAAATTTAAACCCCCAAATCTTATTTAAATTCAATATTATATATTCTATCTGAATTCTTTATTTTTAATGAAAGTATACTTAATGAGACTCTAAGCCCAGGTGATTCATCAGTCTCACTGCTGCTGAGGATAATGCAACAAGATACTTCCTTACTGCAACTATTTACCAGCGTAAGAAATTATAAAAACTACTTCACAGTAATGGCATCTTCACAAAAGCCAAAATCAACGACCATGATCTCATCAGAACTAAGAACTATGTATGGCCGTGTCCAAATTTTAGTTCAACTTTCAACAGTATCAGGGTTACTTTACCCAAAATAGTCTTGATATAAATTGTCTCTTAAGTGTCACAGAAATTAAACAAGGCTCTGACCCAAAGAAGACCTCGCTCTACACTGTAGTCTTTTAGTGAGACTAACATATGGTACAGACAGAGTATCACCACTCCTGAGGGCAATTTTTGAAGTGAAGATGTTATCACATGTGATTTAGAAAAACAACTGAGTAACTTTGGAGTTTTTTGTTGGTTTGGGGGTTTTTTGTTTGGTTCTCTCAGTTTGTTTTTTTGTTTTTTTTGTTTTTTTTAATGGTGCGATATTATCAGATTAAACACATTGCAAAAGCAGTTACATACAATTACAAGCAAAAACCCCAGCTATAGGTATTAATACTGGCTTGAATTTATGTATCCATATAAACAGAGTTTTCTATATACTGATAGCACCATAACAAATTCAAGTGATTCTAAAGATGGTTATGAAGTTTTAAGTTTTCTATTGTAAGTTGTTACAGCAAGAGATAGATTTGAAAGGCTTCTGAATTTGTGTGTTCGTAATTAATTTCTCAGTTGCTCAAGTACACAAGGAAGAAATGAAATCCCAATGTACTTTAACAGCACTGCGTCAATATCTAGTCATACAAAAGTTTCCTGCAGTACACACACTTGAGGTAGACAGATCTCATTTATATGTGTATATGTATATATATATTTGTTTGTGTGTGTGTGTATATATATATATATATATTCTGATTAAGGTGGTTAACCAGAATGCTGTCTGGCAGCTTTAGTTTAATGTCTACATCAGGTACAGCCACTTGGTGTATACTCTGGGTGCACAGAGCTGGGACCCTTACAGTCCTGTCCACATTCTCAGGGCCTCAGTGGCAAAGCAAGACTCTTTTTCACATTAGAACAATAACAATCATGTAAGAAATAGCTCCAGAGAGGCCCAGCATGTCAGCCTGTGTACACATCCATACCACCTGCATTGACTGCTTTCATGGAAAGTTTTAAAAATGGTAGACACATGATCTTGTTTGTTATTTTCTGCCAGATCAAGTAATGCTAAAGACAGAAAAAAAGCTGAAATACACAAACAGCAAGACAAAATCAGAGCCAAATTTGATTGCACGAATCACAGACATGCACACAACCACCACACAAGAACCAGATGTGGAGTTCTGTGTGACCTAAACATTCAAATACAGCTATCTTAACACTTTTGTCTGCATGGACAGCAGCATGTTCTGGCCTTTGTGTGGCTCTCCTTTCCATCTCCACAATTCAGGAGAATGCTTTTCATTCTCTGCTCACATAATTTCTTTTTTGTTTCCTTCCTCCTCACATCTGTGACTGTAATCAAAACAAGGAGCCCTGTTGTCAAAGGTAAACACAAGCAGCAGCAGAGCTCGGAAAGGAGAACTGAAGACTCCAGAGAGGGAAATTAAGGGAAATGTGCTGAGGAATGTAGCGCTTTGAAAACTCAAGAGGAAGAATATTTAAAATGCTTAGATAAATCTCTTGCAGTATCAGCTTCTGGTTACTAAGTAACACTTTCTAGCAGAAGAAGCAAAGGAGCACAGCAAGAGGAAGCAGGGCTTCTTATCAAAAGATAATTTATCAAAAAATAACAGGGTTTAATAATAGGAATAGCGACTAGCATTTTCAGCTGACAGGAAAACTCTTCCAAAAATTAGGTTAACTATTTCCAGCTGGCCATAATAGGGCATAAACTATTTTCAGTGACTTCACACCTGCGCCAGACAAATGTTCTTACAATTGCACTATGGATGATACATAGTGGATATAGCTTGCAGAAATCACTTTCAACTACAGTTTTTTAAAAGCCAATTATTTCCAAAAGCCTTACAAAAAGTGCAGCGAGCCCTGCTAAGTGCCATTGAGGGTGCTTTCTATAACATATATAGTTATATGTGTATATAGATTTATGTACCCATACATAGATTCATGTGTATTACCTTGCATCCATTAGGGCTGATGCAAGCAAAATTACTAGTTAAGGCCAAAAGGTGCTAAAATAATCTTGTCTTGACTCCCCCTTCCTCCCCACCCCATGTAAGTTTGGAATTGCAGTACAGAAAATGCTATGGTTTTGTAAGAAAACAGCTAAAGAAGTTTAAAGTTGCTTGTAAGTTTTAATCAGTGAAATGAAAAATCTGCAATACTCCCACAGTTGTCCAAGAGTCACTGTTTCAATAGCTAGTGATAGCAAATTCTCTCTAAATTAAAAACTGATTTCTGCAAGCCACAATACATAAGAAATGTTTATTTTTTAAGAAATTCACAAATCTAGCACTTGTGAGTATTTGTCATTACGTGGTGCAATTTATACCATAGCAAAATATATATCACAGCACATTAAAATCAACTGAAATTATTTCTATTAGTCTTACCAAATTAACACATATACAGAAGTATCAAAACTTTATTAAAACACAAGGTGAGGGAGAGCAATAACTGGGCAAAAATGACAAATTTACTGGTTTCCCAGACTTTCTTAAGTTTTCAATGCAGCATAATAAATTATCACCAGTCACTGTATTATCAGGTATGTTCAATGCTCTACAGAGTAACTTGAATAAAGCCAATGCAATCAGGCATACTATATAAGACAATAACACTTTGCAAAAATATAGTTTTTAAAGATTTAGAATGCAAGAAGTAACTAAAGCAACTTGGTGTCAAAAGCAACATATTTATATCACCCCACAACACTCAAACTTTTTTTCTGTGTGTAACTGTAAGAGACAAATCAGGCTGAGCTACATGGAACTGTGAAGTGTTTTCAGTATCTGTAAACTTAATGCTGGTAGTGTCTTGCTGAGTTGAAACTTCTTTCTTCCATACAAAAAAGTATAAATATTGTCTGCCCAGAAGTCTAGGTAACACATCCCTAGAAGAAATATTCAGGACAGCCCACTATGAAAGCCCTCCAGTCTTCCAAAATTATTCAGCTGGTTTGTGTCATGTGATTAGTGATGCACTAAGAAGGTGCCAGATGATAGTCTCTGCAAAAAGCTCTGTCCAGAAGGACACTTAAGTTCCCTTACAGCAAGTCCATTTTGGGTCTATAATGTAGCAGTAGAGGTGCTTTCTGCAAGACAGAAATACCAGTAAGTTAAGAAACAAATCCAGAACTAATCTGTTCAGTAGGAAAAACTTCTGTGTCATAAACTAAAGCTTCAATTAAAGTCAAGAGCGGCTATCTGATCTGTCAAAAATCCACCAAGACAAAGACAAGGGGCAACTTCATCTGTGGGGCTCAAACAAGTGATAAAGAACCCTTTCCCCTTTATCTCAGGAGCAGATGTGTTTATCTTGGAAAACTCCCTGAAGTAAGGGTTGTCCAGAAAGCAGAAATTAGAGTATGTGGTAGTTCATATTTAATAGCTCTCACTTGATTCCTCTTCTGTGAAAGCATCCATTGACTTTTTTTATGAATAGGCAACATTTTACACCACAACATCCTGCACTATGGACTTTTGTGTCTCATAAAAACAATTACTTCAGCTTGTTTGTTCTGGGCCTTTCGTGTCTCAGCTCCATTTTACATCCACCATTTCTTTCACTTGGGAGGGCAGTTCACAGTTCTGCTTTCCATATGACTCACAATTACACAGATCTCTCAGACGTGAAGAATAGACTGTATGGATGCACATCAATTTGATGCTCCTGTTTGGTTCTCTCTGCTACAATGCAAACCCTAATGTTTGCATTGTATCCTTTTATCTATACCTACATTCAACTTCAGGTGTTTGTTAATCTCCTGTCACTCAAAACCATAAAGACCATTTTCAGGTCATTCAGAAACACCATATGAAACAGATTCCAGCAGGATTCCACTTGTGACATCTCTGCATTTTTAACACTGACCATTGACTTTATCCTGTGACTCTTACACAGGTCAATTATTTTGTAATTCCAAACAGAAAAATACTTCTCTACTCCAACATGGACCTCTTCTAGATATGCATCCAAAGCCACCAAGTGATTTCACCTCAGTGTACACGGTATGCTCAGAATGTGTTGCTTTTGCATTACAAATACAAACTTCTTGTTCCAGTAACTCTGTGTGTACATATACTGATCTCCCTCCTAAGTGTTCCGTCGTTTTGCTACTCATTCTTACTGCCTGAAGGAGTTAAAAATAATACTTTTTGTAGCTTCTACTTCCTCTGACAGACTTGAAAACAATTAGACTATTAATACAGTGTTTCCTTTTCTCTTCCAATGAATATTAATTCTCCTTTCCTTCATTTACTGGAAACAAATAAATACTTGGCATCTATGGATTTTGTGGTAGAAACTTATAAAAGTACCTTCTATAAAGCTATACTGCAGTACAGTTCCAAATTATCGCTATTTTATAAACATTTTATTTGGCTATTTCATGATATACATTGAATCATTGTGTCATACCTTAAATCTCCATCTAGTAACAACTACAAACTTGAGCGTATGGTCCTTGCCAAGAATCTCTTCATTGCATAATATGTCCAGCTGACAAAATAAAGGTGACAGTTAATTCACTGGGACTCAATTCACCAAACAACGTATTTCACATATTATTATACATTTGACAAGACTTTTTTCTCTGAAGACACTGGAACTGGTAATCCTAAAGTTGCCCTGCAGACAAAAATCACACCAGGAAAGAAAAGATAAAATCTGCTCTCAACATGAAGTACCGAAAGATGATATCAATGCCCGCCTAAGAAATATAGTAAGATATGGATTTAATGTTTGATTTATCTTCCCAAGCAGTACTAAGGTCCTTTCCTGAAAGCTTTACATGCTTCTAAAATGCTTGAATACAGGACAAGGGGAGAGGACTCTCAAAGAGAGCTGTTATTTAGCATACTATCAAATTTTTTTTACCTAACACCAGCCAGGTGGCATTGTTACAAGGACAGAGGTTTTTTTAAAAAAACAGTCTGCCATATATTTACATTCTACATTTATAGGGGTTTTACAGATACTAAACAGGTATTTTTTGTTTTCTCTCTCTGTTTTTAAAAATCTTGGTATTAGAAACAAGGGAAGATCTCAACATAAAAGTATGAGGGATCATATGACTACTAATCAGCTGAACTACAACAGCTGAACATGAACTAAAACCAGGGAACATGTATGAAAACAACAAGTTCCACCAAGTTGGCTTATGTTACAATGTTTTACCACATAGCCCAGGAAGGCCTGAATGTGCACGCTGTCCACTTACACAGCAGTAACTCAAACCTGAAACAGTCTGTATCAAGCAACCAAGTAACCACGCGCTCTAATTCTCCTTCTATATGACTTAGTACTAGTAAAATGATTACATGACCATTTATGTACTTTTTAAGAAGGCAGAAAGGGATAACAAAAAAATAAACAGTACTCCAGAAAAGTTTTTCTTTCAGTAGAAACCAAGTAGATTCTTAAGTCACATCTTGGCACACTGCATCGGAGAAGCGGCTTACACATGCATATACCAAAAGAATATATTAAAAAAATCTCTTCTGAACAATCCTTGTAGCTATGTCAGGAGACAACCACCTCTGAGCCAGCTCAGGACAAGACGGGATACAAGGTTTTGTTTCAGGAAAACTGGCAGAGTTTGGGGATATACTTGAACCATAAGAGAGAGAGAGTGTTAGTTTGAAGTGTACAGAAGCTATGGAGGAAAAGTGATAGAGATGCAAATTGGCTGTTGACAAGATCAAGCAGCAAGGTGTTGACACACTGGACTGGAAAGCAGATTATTTGATTTGTATGAAATGTCTTAATGAAATTCAGTGAATCCGTGTCATAATATGGATTTGAGAGATGTCAAGCTGAGAGTCAAGTGAGATGTCCAGAAACTGTTAACAAGATCCAGCCAAGTGATAAATAGGGGCTGCATTCGTAGTTTGCCACTTTTTTGAATCTAGTCTAGGAGAAGTTCAAAGTATTGCCTTTCTTTCTGTACCTTTCAACTTAAATTCTTCTCATGATACCCTGTAAACACAGGGAAAAGTAGGCATCTGATAACACTCTGGTTGAGGTAGGCAGCAACTTCAGACTGAGCTTCACTAAGGGCACAGAAAAAAACAACATATTTGTGGTGCTTTCTCTTCAATGGGACTTTACTGTTGAAGTGGTTCTGTTTGGCCCCTGTAGAGTGCAAACTTCCTAAAATGTTGGAGATAAACTCAACTACAATATATCAAACAAATAATCTTGCCAGAGTCCGTTTAAACACATGTGGAAGCACAAAACCAAACTTTTTGCCCAACTATTTAAAAATGCGCATGAAAAGATGCACTGCAAACTAAGTGGAAAGTCCTGTACAGACCCAAGAAAGGACAAGAAAATTGCTATGTAACATATATAGCATTCAAGAAGCGGTGTATGCTTCTGTTTTCTGAAAATAAAATCAGAATAAAAGACATCCTTTTGCAAAGGAACAAACCCACCCCTTTCAAGTTTTTGTATCTGTAAACTTACTTTTAAAAATTAAAATATTACCTCATTAAAAGAAGAAAGGTTGAGTTTTTTGGCAATGAACTTCTTTAGATGCAAGACTGTTGCTTGTGCAGAGCAACGAATCCATTTTCGTTTCAATCCACGCAGTTTGCTGCTATTGCACTCCAAGCAGATGCTTACCTTCAGGAAAAGGCAAAAAATCAAAAGTTGGCTGCAACAATTATCTGCAGTCTTATGTATTCCACATGCAATTTTTATTAATCCAATATAGCGAAGTACAGTACTAGTATTCTTTACACTGAAACGCCTATTAAGAAAACCATATTTTCTAAGATTTCCTAAGTTGAGTGGTAAGTAATAAGACAAATGGTGTTCAAGTAGTAATTTTTGATGTTGGAACAAGGCTGCCTCAGTCCACATTCATAGGTTGTCAATAGCTTAAGAGGGCCATATGCTAAAAGCCAGAGCAAGAAAACAGTAAGAAAACTATTGTCAATTCTTAAAGATTGCTTCTAATATAATTTCTTGCTGTCAATACAACTGCTAATCTAGTTTAATTTTAACATGTTTAAAAAGAATGAATACAAATGATATGACAAATATTTCAAATTCTCACTTTTTCTCCCATCCAGTTATTCATTACAGTCTAAACTCTTTGTGATGGTATGCTTGTATTACACTAGGAGGATCTAGTAACATGTACAATCCCTTTGAAAGTTCCCTTACATGGCAACTGGGAAGAAAATTAACCCAAGCTAAAGTTACTCTGGACTCGCATAACCAGAAGTCATAAAAGGCATGGCTTGTTTATACCAAAGGGAAGTTTCACCTTCAAACAAGCTTTGTGTTCTAAACTTCACAGTGGGCTTCCCTGCTTTTATAATCTTTTTATGATTCAGGGCTAACACTGTATTAGTATTAAAGGTTGAAAACAAATTATGTACTAAGTTAGTAAGACTGCTGTTAAGGAAACCTGTCTGGCCATCCAGGAGCCACTCTGGCAGCCACATTCACACCACCTAAGCTGAGAATGAAGCCCCTTCACACCTACACCCCTCACACTCACATTCAGACCAGGATTCCCTACCAGCTCAACCCCAGGTTTTCCATAGCAGAGTCTCAGACATCCAGGTCCTTCAAACAGCTTAATCATGGTGCAGTAACTAAATAACAGCTCCAGCTGGTGCCTCTGAGAAGGGGCCCCAAACAAAGGAACCCCTGGGCTCTCATACCCTCACAGCACCAAAGTCTGGGGGTCTCAGCTGCTTCTGTGTCTCGGTGTCCAGTCCCCAGGCTGGTGCCACAGGTCCCTGTGCCCCTTCCCCTGCACCCTGAGCTACCTGCACTGAATGTGTTAACAGTGCCAGAGTTTTAATCCATAATTACCAATACACATTCAGCTTAATGTGTCGTGGCAACACTGGGGTACACTCCTGTATAAAGCAGAAAATTACATTAATTTGTTTTGACAGCAAACTTTACAGACTCATAAACAATCAAAACTATAAAGATATCTGGAAGAAGATTTGAATGTATTCTCCATTCCTGGCAAAACCCAAAGGTAAAACCTCATGCTTACAAAAAAGCACTGTCCAAACTGCATCATGTTTTTATCAGAGAACAGAAAGAAGTAGCTTGAAATAAACTCATTTTCTTCTCTGTTAGATTATCAAAGTTACCTTACCAAACCACAACAGCTAAAACACAAGATAAAACTAGAGCATGCCCTATGAGCCCACCTGTTCATCACTTCGGTGGTAGTCATTATCTTCTTCCTGTTTTTCCTCCGAAGTTTCTTTATTTATATTTTCATCTGCTTTAGTTTCACCTTAGATAAAAAAACCCACATATATGGGATACTCAAATATTATTATCATATATAAACTCCACATACACTCAGCAGCATCTGATAGTGCCAATACAATTAAAACAGCAAGTTTCAGGACTGCAGTATAGAATAAGCTTTGCTATTCCCAAATTGTGCTTATCAGCTCAAGCTACACTTCCAGCCAACAGCCCGTGACATGAAAGAGGAGTTCAGCTGCTAACAGCCCAGAAGCTGGGTAATTTCACAGTCCCCATGTAGGCACTGCTATGGAGACCAACTTTGCCACAAGCAACATGCAATTAACAGCTAAAACCAAAATTCTGTGCAGAAATAAGGGACAAGGCAACAATCCTATGCTGACTCTATTCCTTGCTGTTACAAAACAATGATTGTAATATACTCACTGGGCACATACTTCCAAAAGATCTGTCCATCAATTTACTATATATCACCCACCAAAGACAGAATAAATAAAGGACTATTTACCATTTCGATGAGAATCTAGGTGCTGTTTTGTAGAACATGTCTCCCCTTTGATATCCCCTGGAACTTCCATGCCCAGTTTGTGATAAAACTCCCTTTGCTTTTTCATTTCCGCTGTTTAAAATTGCAAATATTAATTCCTGTAATAAAGTTCTAATGCAATATTTATGAAGTTATTCCAAATCCCTTCCCACTTTAGGATTGCCAACAAGTGGCGGTGGTGTCATTATTTACTGTCTTCTATCACTCCTATTGCATCAAGTTACGCCTAATCTTATTTTTCAGAATTAGAAAAGCATAAAGTTATCTGTATAGTTACTACTATACTATTACTGCTAGAATGAGATGGAATTTAAAATACTGCAGCTAATTTTGAATATCCCCCATTTTGAACATGACCCCCATTTTGAATATGATCCCCATTTTGAATGCTGAGTATTTCAGTCAAAACATTGGTTTTGAATTTTTATTCATAGTTCTGGTTTTCAATATCCCAGAAATTATTTTTAAAGTATCTATTTAATCACACTGACAGTTGGAAATGCCCTGGTTAAAAAGCAGCTTCAATAGATTAAAATACTCTATTTAAATAAAAACTTTAACATACATTAAGACCAAAAAAACCCACTGAGCAATATTTATAAAGTATTTCTTTAGTTTAACAGATCTAGCATCAAAGAGGATTATGAAAACAGTAATTGAAATTTCTCTAACAAAAAAGAACTCCCAAAAATAGCAGAAACTAAAAGCATTTTAAAATTGCATTTTACCTCTGAGAATTCTAGAAAGCTTGCACAACAGGTATACAAAAACAAATGAGAGTTATGGTATGGCAACATTTGAAAGCTGAATGACTATTCTGCTTTACATAATACTGCTTTTGGAAGAAATCCCACGTTGCCTCCTACCACCCCCACACTCAGTTGTTGCTACTACAGGTACGAAATTAAATTAATTGCTAAAAATTACACTAGTGAAAGAGTCTCGTTTTCCACTGCATTTTTTTCTCAGTTGCCCCCCTGGCCCCTCTTTACATCACTTGAAACTTTCTTTTATCTTTAATGTCAAAGAAGTATGTGCAAACTGGCCTTTAAAAAGGTCACACCGCAACTTACCTTCTTGGAGGCCCGGCACAAGTTTGTAAACAATATCTTGCATTGTTCTGTCATGACTAGCAAGGAAAAAAACAACAAAAAACCAAAATCAAAAGCTTAAGTTCATGATCTTGATTGAAAACATTTCTCTTAAAGAAGTTCCACTACTAACCATATGCAAAAATCTCTAAATTCATTTAAGAAGAATTTTACTTTTCAATCAGTATTTCTATCAAACCAGAAAGAACAGCAACACAAAAGAAATTATGAAAAAGTATAAGCTAAGACAGAAAACAAATGGAAGTGTGAGAAAAACTAGTCTGTAGACTAGTTTTCACAATTCAGCCCACTGAGTATGTCCTTCTGCATCAAGACAAGTATGACAGTAATAACCTAAAACTCTTTTCCAGCTTAGAGATAAACTCATTTTAATTACAAAAGAATCAATAATAGCTTGTTTCTCACCCCTAAAGACTAATTTCTCACATTTCTAGATTAGTTATCTTTACTAGGATCTTCTAAAATGTATGAGACGAGTTCAGAGAAAAAGACCACAACAAACTAAATTTTACTTTTTTCTTAAAAGGGCAAAGTAACTGTGAGAAACATTATTTAGCTAAGTAGCCTGTAGAGGTAGTGTGGCTCAAATGAAAAAAAGTCAACAATCCCACTGCAGGACAGAGGGGACAGGTAAAATTCTAAACTTTAATCCCCAGCTCACCTAGAAAAATCCTGTTCTAATCTAAAATAAGTTATGGATCTCAAAGAAATTAAGTATTACATTAAATTCCAATTAAGAAATAGTATAAGAAGCATTTCAAGTGTCTGCCTTGACTGCTGCAATGTCATAATCTCAAAAGTGTCTGCAGTATCAAGTCCTGAATTGGATTTCAACAGAAAAGGCTTACAAGAGTAGTCTCAGGCTTCTCATAACCTGACATGAGCACTCCACAGCAGTGGAGATCAGTAAGCAAGTACAGAAATGGTGACAAATCAAGACATTTACAAGCAGTAATTACAATATTCTAAGTAGCACTACAAGATTCAGAATATCACTTATCCTAAATTCATGTCATTTTCACCACCAGCAATCTCATTTGTACAGGCTGAGATGATGAAATGTCATTTATGGATTGCAAACACTTTGCCAAAATTATTTGAACAAAAATATATAAGTATGACACCACCATTAAATCAGAGGTGACAATTTGGGGGTTGGAACTAGATCATACAGATGATCTTTAAGGTACCAAAGAATTTAAGACTCTGTGATGCTATTTAACAGTATTTAAAAATGTAAACAAGGAGACACATTTGGTTTACCTGTTTTTCAGACAGATGAATAGGAGTTTAAATCTCCATTTTCAAATACCTTGTGATACTCCAGACTGTCAATTATTTTTTTAAAAAGGTAAATAAACAGACTGGACAAAGTCTGTTTCAGTTTCAATGGGCAATATTTTACAACTAATTTAAACAGCTTACTTAAGTTGAAGTGTATTCAACAATAAAAAACAAATAACAAATTGCCTTCTAGCTGCTCTCAATATCATGTTGTTTCCTGGCCCTTTTTGCACAAAAATCAAGTTTTTGAACTGAGGCAAACATGTTGTCTTAAATGTCATTTATTCATTCTTGCCTATTTGCATGTACCTGTCCCTTTAATTATACACTCATACAGGAGTATGAGTGTATATTATAAATGTGGAGACAGCATACTTAGTTACAGGCTCCTGAATGAGGGTGAGCTTGAGCAATGTAAGTATGTGTAGAACACTGACAGTTTTCTGTAAAAGTGCAATCAGACTCATTTGCTAAAACCATTGCTTCCAAAATTGTTATAGAAGAGAGAAAGGCATGTTGAAAAATGCTATGAACAAACACAAGCTCTTTATAGTGGAAGACAAAACACTATTTGATATGCAACAGCTAATGCAGACACACCATTACAATGTATTTTCATCAGCAGGAGTAAAATGGAAAGAAAGCACTCAAGGAAAAGAAAAAGAACGTCTTTTCTGACAAGAAAAGGAGGAAAAAACCCAACAAAAATACTTAGTGAACATGCAATTTGACTATGCAAATGCAGATGGAAAATAAAGAGGTGACTGGCAAAAGCCAACATGGCTTTCACTATGAGCAAACCGTGTCTGACAAATTGGGTGGTCTTCTATGATGAGGTTACAGAGACAGTGGATGAGGAAAGGGTGAGTCATGGCATCTACCTGGACTTGTGCAAAGCATTTGATGCTGTCCCGCACAACATCCTTGTCCCTAACTGGAGAGATCTGGATTTGACTAATGCAGCACTTGGTGCATAAGGAATTGTTGGATTAAGAAAGGCTGGATAAAAAAGTCTGGATGGTTGCACTCAAAAGAGTTGTGATCAACAGTTCAATATCTAAGAGGAGACCAGTCACAAGTGCTGTCCCTCAGGGGTCAGTACTGAGATCAATGCTGTTTAACATCTTTGTCAGTGACAGTGGGATTGAGAGCACCCTCAGCAAATCTGCCAGCAACACCAAGCTGTATGGGGCAGTAGACATGCTGGAAGGAAGCAGTGCTTAGGAGGTAGGTCCATGTGAAGCTCCAAGTTCAACAAGGCCAAGTACAAGGTCCTGTACCTGGACTGGGGTAATTCCAAGCACAAATATAGGCTGGGCAGAGAAGTGACTGAGTGCAGCTCTGAGGGGAAGGACATGGGGATATTAGCAAATAGAAAAATCAACATCACCTGGCAATGTGCACTTGCAGTCCAGAAAGCCAAGTGCAACCTAGGCTGCATCAAAAGAAACTCAGCAGCAGATCGAAGCAGGTGATTCTGTCCTTCTACTCTGCCTGCAAAAGCTCCCACCTAGACCAGTGCTTTCAGCTCTGAGGCCCCCAAAGGATGTGGACCTACTGGGGTGAGTCCACAGGAGAGCCATGAAAATGACCCTCTCTCATGTGAAGACAGGCTGATAGAGTTGGAGCTGTAGAGCCTGGAGAAGGTAGACTGCAGGGAACTGTCAGAGCAGTCTTCCAGTACATGCAGGGAACCCAAAAGAAGGCTGGAAATAGACTTTTTAGACAAGAATGTAGTCATAGGACAAGGGGGAATGGTTTTAAACTAAAAGATGACAGATATAGGTTAGATAACAGGTAGAAATTCTTCAGTGAGAGTGGCAAGGCTGGAAGAGGTTGTTCAGAGAAGTTGTGCATACCCCACCCCCAGAAAGGAGGTGGGGTGGGGGGGTCAGTCCTGGCTTCATGGAACTTTGAGAAACCTGAACTAGACGATCTCAAAGGTCCCTTCCAGCCCAAACCATTCTATGATGATTCTATGACATTCTTATCTGTTCCTACAAACTAAGCAGACGTTTGAAAGATTAACTGAACAATAAAGCTGAAAATTATTTCTCTTATTACTGTCACACAGAAAAGCACTGTTCAACTGAGACTAATTTTTGATAATTTTGTAAAAGTGTAATTCCTACAAACGTTTCATATATATAATTTTTACAACCCAAGCATACAAAATGAGGAATTACTATATCCCATTAAAAATTACACTGAAATTAAACATTTGAGTGTATAGTTAACTTGCTTGTAAGTCTGGAACAAGCTGCCATGCTAAGGCCTTACAAACTCATAGCAGAAGTTTCATTCTGTATCTCCTTCTCAGTCGCCTTCATACTTCTTTTTCAATGTTTAACATGCTGATAAGCAAGAGCAAAAATTCTGAGAGAAGCCATACTGTACCAAAGGGGATGACCCAGACTAGAGTGAAGCTACTTGCACTTCTGCTTTTATACTTACCCAATATACTGTAATGGGTGGCTCTGATGTATAACAATCCTACAGGTTGGACAGGTGTTGTTTTCCTCCAAATATTTCACTAGGCAGCTTCTACAGACTAGTAAAAAAGACATTCACAATTTAAAAGGAATACAAGTAGCATAACAGAAGTCTGCTTTTATACAGTCACAGAATGCACAATACTGAAATTTACATGAAGTTCATTGTTCTGCATCATATGTCTAATCTTGCAGAACACAGTTTCAAGTACCTTTCATAAAATTTCCTGATACAGGAAAAGGATGCAGTAGAATTACAGCATCTATACCTATCAAAAACCTTAACACATTACACAACAGAAAATCTCACTTCAAAATTTACTAGAACAATTTCTAGCAGGTCAACAATCAGCTTGCATGGATGACATTACAGGAACTATTTGCCATTAAGATACTGGACAAAACATATTTGCTTTAACCATGGCCACCTACAGAACAAGTGGCATGTGTGGTGGCAGCACACAAAAAGAATTCCAAAGCAGGAAAGTGGATATCTTGGTGTTATTTTAATTCTAACTTTCACAGAGTATACTACAGCTGAACTTCCACCAGAAAAAAAAAAAATGACATTGTCACAGACCTTCAATATTAGTAAAATGTCATGCTAGGAGTTGCTGAGTAGTGATTCACTGTTAAGCTGTATGTTTCTATACACATACACACAATCATCCATTGTTTTCAAAGTAAACTATTTATACACCACTCTCTGCCCCAAAACAGTACTCATAAAACACACTACTAAATTATATCCTCACTCACTTGAAGTTACAACTGAAAAGGTATGGAGAAAAGAAGGGAGGTTTTCTTGAAGTGCACTAGTTCATGTAGTCTTGATATTAATGCACTTTTCACACAAAACAAAAGGATTTCTGTAACTATAGTGCCATCTACCTCTCAAACAAGAAGACAGTACAATTACATAAAGATCCGTTGACTAAAAAAAAAGTAACAGTAAATGAAGTACTATAACTTTGCACTGTGTTTTGCATTTACACACCTAGGATGACAGCACTGTTGGTGGCAGACATTAGACAAAGCCTCATCTTGCACAGCAGTTTGTTCCAGCAGAGTGCCAGAACAGAGTGCAAAAGTGAAGCCAAACTCCATTCCTACCAAGTCAATAGAAGCAGAATCTGACAGAGGAAGCAGGGACAGGTATCCTGGAAGAGTATAGGAATGTTGCTAACTTGGGTAGGGAAGGGTCAGAAAAGCCAAATGACAGCTGAAGCTGAACTTGGCAAGGAATATGAAGCATTATAACGGTTTCTGTAAGTATGTAACAAAAAGAAGGTCAAAGAATGTGTAACCCTCAGACAAAAATGACTGGCAAATCAGTAACAATGGACAAGAAGAAGCCTGAAGTATTCAATTTTTCTGCCCCGGTCTTCTCTAGCAATTTCTCCTCCCACAGCTCTCACATAGATGAACTGCAAAGGAGGCACTGGGGGTGTAAAGTCCCTTCTACTGTGTGAAAAGATCAGGCTCACGAACACCTGGGAATGTGAATACACGTAAGTCTCTGGGACCTGACGAGATGCGTCCCAGGGTCTTGAGTTGGCTGATGTAGTTGCCAAGCCACTAACAGCGACAGTCCTGACAGTCAGGTGAAGTCCCTGGTGACCAGGAAAAGGGAAACATTGCTTCCACTTTTAGGAAGTGGTAGAAAGGGAGAGATCTGGAAATCATCAACCTGTCTACCTAAACTCTGTGCCTGGGAAGATCACTGAGTACTAGAATGTGTGCTAAGGCATGTGAAGGACAGGGAGGTGACTCCAGACAGCCAGCACAGCTTCACCAAGGACTCTGAACAACTTGATGCCACTGAAGATGCCCCTGCCCATTGCTGTGGTGATGCATTAGGTGACTTTTATAGTTCCCTTCCAACCCAAAGCATTTTGTGATATCTAAAATATCATCCCATGTTAGTACATCTTCCAGCTTGGACTAGGTAAACACTAACTCCTAAAATGAACTAGTCACAAGTTAGCTAATGTTCTGGCAGGTTTCAGTCTGAGCACAGCAGCCAAATAAATGCCACTAGACAGCTCATGAAGGGTGCTGCAGACATCTAGGTTCTTTTTTTCTGGGGTCAGGTTGGGATTATAAACTCTCCTGAAACTAGAAGTCTTTGGAGTAATGGACAGGCAATATGGAAATTGTTCTGTGGTCTGAAACAATATTACTTCTAGAATTTTGCATTACTTTGGTTTTCCAGTATCTCTGATCTCTGTTTACCCAGATATACAGGCACTGACTGTGGACATGAGCTGTACATTTTCTCATTTCTTATACACATCAGAGAGGTTTCATAAGAACAGGAACAGACAAGGATAATGTTCACTTTTTTAACAGTTTCACTTCTCTTGACTTTTTTCATTTCTGTATCTAGTTCAAGTTGACCTTTTATCATCCTGATGCATTCAGAAGATGATACATTTCATAATGTGAGGTATTCCCTTTCAAAACATAGAAACATTATAAACTTTGTGTTTATAATTTCAGTTTTGTTAGCATTTACATGTGAAACATGTAAACACTAACAAAACTGATATTACAAACAGAAAGTTTAACAAGACCAGCATGTATCATCTAGCCTAGATGTTTAATCAAGGAACAGACACAAACTAAAAAAAGACTTGACTTTTTTTTTTTAGTTACTACTAATGAAATTTTTAGTAACTAACTTAGTGGCCTACCTGTCACCGACAAACTAAAACCATAGCAGAGAAGTAAGTAGGAAAGAAAGTGAAAACACTTTGCTTCCTCCTAAACTCAGTTCTACAAAAATTTGCCCTGTTCCTCCAGAGGGCTGGCCTTGGTCATCCAAATTACTTTCACTAAAGGACCCAAGAACTTTATTTACTACTGAAGAGTCTTTGAATGGTTAAAGATCAGTAAATGAGAGAAAAATTGAAAAAGTAAGAAAAATGTGCAGTTCTGAGTAGAAGAGAATGAAAATTTCAAGGTGGTGTAATTTAGAAGAGAATTCACTATCTCAACACACAGGGTAATTTCATGATGGATTTTGCAAGGATGCTTTTCCAGGAGCATATATCATTAGCATTATCTTACACAATACAAACAATACAAACATGTATGAAGTTTTGTTAAAAACATAGGAAGGACTCTGTGCCTCTTCCCACAAAACTGATTATACAGGGCACAGTGCAAAGTAGCACTCATAAAATATAAATTGTCAAAATAAGGGAGAAACAAACTAAAGAAAACCCCAGAAAAAGTAGCAGGAAAAGGTAGTAAGGTGCATGTCCTGACTTTTGCAGTAAATGCCGTAGGGCTGTGGATTTCCTCCATAAGCAAATATAAGAGATGGTGCAGATGATACCAGCTGAGGAGTATTTGTGACGCTCCGCTTTATTTTTAAAGAACAATAAAAAATTACCTCTCTCTAGCTGTTAGCCGTGTTAACTTGTTATGATACTCATTTTGGATACACTCTTCTATCTAGCAGCAGTAAAGAAATTTGGGCAAAACTAAGTAGAAGGCTAGCTGTGAAAACAATAGTATGGAAATTGAGACAGGAAGCAAGAAGGCTCTGGAGAGACCTTAAAGCAGTCTTCCAAAAGTTGAAGAGCACTACAAGAGAGATGGAGATGAACTTTGTACAGGGGCATGTACCAACAGGACAAGGGGGAATGGCTTCAAACTGAAGGAAGATAGGTTCAGATTAGATATTAGAAATAACTGGCACAGGTAACTGGCACAGGTTGCCTGAAGAAACTATGGACGTACCATCACTGGAAGCATTCAAGGCTAGGTTATATGGGTCTTTGAACAACCTGATCCAGTAGATGCTGACCCTGCCCATGACCAGGCAACTCCATATAGATTCTAGAACTATTCTGTGATTCTCAGAATCATAGAACAAACCTTTCTACTATCCTGGATTCTATGAGGATATTCAGAACAACATGAAGTGTGACAAGTGCAGCAAATTCATCACAGCTGATAAACAGAGCTTCTAAATGGAATAAAAAACAATCACTGACAAATCATGAACATTGTCTTTTCCCTTTGTCAGATATAAAAGGTGAAGTCTGCCAACACTTTTTGTTTCATGACAAATACATATCACAAAATAATTGCCTTCCAAGAAAATTTAGGACTAAGTCATTAAGCTAATTAAACGGCCTACTAGCTTTATCAGAATAAACATAAATATTGTGGCAGAACAATTTTAAAACATGGGATGGGCTGCAAGGTTTTAAGTCATCTTTAGCTTACATGAAAATAGAAATTCACGGAGTAATTCATCAACAAACAACTACTTTATCACAATGTTTTGGAATACAAGCTTATTTCTAGGATACAGTACAACATACTTATTCTTTATCAAAAAACTACTCTGTTTTCTGCAGAGGAACGGGAGAGAAAGAGACATCTGAAAGGCTCCAGGTGGAGAATATATGCTATATCAACTGTCACAGAAGAGAGAACTAGGTATTCCACATTCCTTTAGCATGAAGACAGACTACATTCTTGAATAGTTACATAATCACTATTATTGTATATAACTTCAAGTTTATGCAGCACAGCTTTAATGTTCCCTCCATTTGCTTTGTTATAAAAGCAAATCAACTGTTAAAGAAAAGCAGTCTAGTAAAGCACATGCTTTTTTTGGCTGATGAACAATAGCTATTTGAAATTTCAACTGAAAACCATACAACATGTTTTAAAACCAAAAAGCCCAAACCAGACACAAATAGAAACCAGCAACTTTAACTTAATTATATTTCTACTTACAAGTATGCAAGCATTCTGTTACAGTAGTAGCATCGATCAGGTATCCATTGCACAGACGACAGGTTATATGGGCATTAATGTCCCAAAGCTTAATCTTCCTTGTTAGCATCTTTGGTGTCTGTGGAAGAGATGTATTATAAAGTAACACAGCTGTAGTCATTTGGGAATAAATGATTAACTTGAGTTAAGCCAGCTTCAGACTTCTGTACAATGTACACAGATGTGCGTGCACAGTGGTGGCACTAACTTTTATGTCACTTCACAGAAACTGAACAATGTAAACTCCACACTATTTTGCAAGTCAGTACTACAATAGCATAGAAAATGGCCCTTCCAGTGCGCTACTAATAAGTTCCTTTACCAACCAACAGACTCAGATTCAAGATGAAACCCTACTATCCTGGTAGCTTGAGTCATCATATTCCGTCCAGTTATGATAGAAAACTCACAAAATATGAAGGAAGAAAATCCTCAAAGTAGGTGACTTTCAGATTCAGAAGTGTTTTGACAATTGAAAAGTCAAAGTAACTGTTCAGTTTAACCACATTTTTAAGTGTTTGCCTTGTGTCACTATATTAAAGCATAATTTTGAATGGAGCTGGCAAGTAAACCTTCTGAAATCCCTTTTATTTAAACAGAAGGTAATTGAACACTACATTACAGATTAAAATAATTTCATTGGCAGAGGAGCAGCTGGTTGTGCTAAAACTTGAACTAAACATTTTTTCTTTCTTTTGAGCATGGAATTGCATAAACATCTTTAAAAGGAAAAAAGAAATTAGAAATCAAAAATGAAAAAGCTCATTTAACTTTTTTTTGTAGTAACATCAATTGTTTAGAGAGAAAACATCACACAAAGCCCATGTCTTTACAAATAAACTGTTACATTTTAAACATTTGTTATTTTTTTCAAAACATTTTGAAAATTGTACTATTACCAGAACTTGACCGGCATTCTAGTCAACTAAGAGAGCAGGCTATAATTGCTTACAACCTACTATATTTGGTTCTCGTACTGCAGAAGTCGCCAAATTACATTGTTTTCCTTTAAAGTGATTTTACTGTCCCTGGCTCACAAATACTGCTTTTCATCTAGCTCAGTTTGGAAAACATTTCAGAATTTGAATGGTGACACATGCTCTCTAAGTTTCACATTGAAATATTGCAACAAGGTTGTCTGACCTTTAATTTTATCATCTTTTTTTTCCCCTATGTTCAGTGAAGTGGTACTAAGAAAAAAGAACTATCAAACAGCAAACTTCCACACCAATCTGAACTATTCCAGTGCAGAGAAGTACAAAATGTTCCACCCACCCATTCAAATCTGCATTGTCCTATACAGAAAAGACTAGGAAGACTTCTAGTTCTCATGGTTAAGAAGTAAACAATGGGAGGAAAAAAATCAGTATTATTTTATAGTATTTGAGATTTAGTTACAAATCTAGTAACCTCCCATTAGAGAAGAATAAAATAACAGCTTGGTTTTGCAGTAGACAAAATAGGTGAAAAACATTCATTTAGAACCTGAATTACTTTCCTAATTTTAGAATTATTTTTAACTCTCTGAAAACCAGACCCACATTAAATCCTTCCAGGTGAGTGCATGAGGTCACCAGTTAAACACTACTACACGAGGTATGTAGGTTTCTGTGGTGCTGAGGAAGAGCTATTCAACATCACTCTTCAAGAAGAGCTCAAGGGATGGCATCAAGCCACCAGTTAATTTGAAAGTGGGCGTGCTAAAAAACACAATTCATGACAGATAAAAGAGAAATTAGCCTAAAGAGATCCTGAAAAAGGCAGTACCAATATAACTAGTTGCTTGTCTAGACAGGAATTCAGAAGAAGGTGTTCAGGATAACTACAGGCAGAAATCCAAGCACTTCTAAGGCAGAAGAGCCAAAGACTTAACAGTGAAATCTGAAGCAAAGAAATTGGTTTTTTTCTAGAAAGAAAATTACAATTTTTCTTCCCAACAGTAGAGATAAATGCTGCCACTAGAAGAACCATCAACAAACAAACAAAAAAATTCAGATGGGGTATAATATTATGAGAACAGTGACTGAACCATACAACAAAGGCAAAAATAACACAAAATACTAATAAAGCCCATTGTGCCACGGGGAAAAAAAAGAGGATATCAAGATAATACACACTTTTCCAACCTAATAGGAAAAAAATCATACACATTTTGGCACTGGAAAAATGAGTATCTTCTAGAATATCAAGAGAAAGCCTATCAAATCAATCTTATGAAAATTTGGTTTTTTGAAGGAGCACAGAAAGTCACTCTCATTAGATGTCTGAAGGACTGAAAATAAGAACTATTGGAAGAAGCAACAGAAAGGTAAGAGGTCTTTCCAGGGCAGTAGACACCTCGAAAGGTGATAAAACCTACAGAAGGACATTTCTCCAGAGGGTCTGTCCCATGCTGCCTTCTTGCAGCTACTAAAACAGGAGAAGGATCCCTTCTCTGCTCATGCAGAGTCCATGGTTGCTTCAGCACACCTTCAATCTCCAGTAAACAACACAGCTTTTGAGGTAACTGGCTTTGTAAGCAAGCTATCAGTGTCAGACTTTATTTAAGCCTGTGTCTTCTACAATTGTGACCCACATCCTCCAGTCTCGGGAAAACAAAGAACTCAGAATGCCTCTCCTGCTTTTCAAAACAGTTAACCTGTTACAACAAGAGGACTTACTAAAAATTTTAAAATTAATAAAAATAAAATTTAAAAAAGGCCAGACCACTTCACATCTGTTCAGAAAGGTAGAGAGAAGCTCGCAAAAAATGGCATATTACCAAGATGTCAGTTCAGTCAGATAACATAAATGCTCAGACTTTGCAGAAAACTTGAATTGCTTCCTAGAGGGAAATAGAAAAAAAAATTTAGCAGAACTAATGACACATATAAAGAAAAATAGAGACACTAATGTTACAACCTCATATAAGAAATTAAATTCACTAATCATAGAAACTAATTAAAAACATAAAGTAATTCCATATTATGTACAGTAATTCCACATTAATCACCAGCCTGTTCTATATCACTTCAGAGGGAAGTAAATAACATAATTGCAGATTTCATCATCAACTACTTTTTTTTTCCTCTTTATTATTGCATTTGAATATTATACACAGTCATACTAGGAAATACAAAGCTAGGCTACTCCTCACAATGCTTAAGAAGAAACAGTCCACATGGATAGGTGGCTAATACAGGATGTCTTTCATGTTCCTATCTGGAATACACTATCAGTTCAGAAGGGGTACTTGCACTACTTGAACCACACATCTTCTCTTGGGAAGGCACCCCAAGATGCTCATGTTTCTACAGCCTAGTGCCAAACAAAAGTTAAGCACCACTTTTATCATATAAGACAGCCAAGTTGTTATCACCACACCAAAATCCATGCCAGTAATCCCATACAAACTGGAACTAAACAGCAAGAACTACACAACATCCTAAACATCAAGTCTGACTAAGTATTACACAAGCAATTTTTCTATTTTCTGGACAAATCCAGAAATATCCCTTTGAAAAAGGGATATTTTTTTAAAATCTGAATTCCAGATGATCTCTTTCACAGAATTCTTCTCATCTCTCAAACAGTTATATGCTGAAAAGAAAGCTAAAAATGAATTTGCATACCTCCAAAACAAGTAATCTAACCTTAAAAACAAAAACCACACAAATCTAAATACATATTCCCAAGAAACCGTGCAGCTTAAAAGCAAAGACAGATATCTGGATAACACACTGATCCACTTGGTCTGACCTCAGTCTACTCTTCTTCGAGCAGCTGGATTATATAGAATATCCTAAATTGGAAGAGATCCATGGAATCAAGTCCAAATCCTGCCCTGCACAGGACATCCCTAACATGTCTCATGTGTCTGAGTGTATCGTCTGAACCCTTCTTGAACTCTGTCAGGCTTGGTGCTGTGACCACTTCCCTGGGGAGCCTGCTCCAGTGCTCAACCACCCTCTGAGGGAAGTACCTTTCCCCAACACGTAACTTAAATCTTTGCTGACACAAGTCATGCCATTCCCATGTCATGACATCCTATTACAGGTAACCACCTTACATGAAGGACATGATCTTTTTCTAACCTGAATCATCATATGATCCAATGAATTTACTACCTCTCCCTATCCATGTATTAAGCAAGCTGAAGTTCTTACTATATTGACTGATCTCAAGCTGCTGATGACCATTAGAAAATCATAGAGACGCCAACTCAATGAAGTTAGCATGAGCACATCTAAACATCTAAACCAGGCTGCTGCAAAAAGAAAACACGCAGAATCAGGTTGACATTTAAGTCATGCACACCAGCTTGAACCAACAATAGGACGTACGCTTACTTTTCCAAAGCGCAACCCAGGCTGATACCTTCTTGCCTAAAGACATATATATATATTTTAAAAAATCAGATCAAAAGCATTATCCCCCAATTGACACTTCCTTTTTTTTTTTTTTACACTCAATAGACTGTGCAGGATTTAGTAGGAGCAGCAAAGCTCTAAAAGACACCATTTACATTTGCCTTCTTTTGTAATGTGACCCACCAGGCACTGTAGAAGACACATGCCCAGGAGCTTCTTGAGCATGAATCACAGGATCACACTCAAGTTCACAAGCAAAAGTTTCACAGAAAGCTACCATCCAATATAAAAACAGGTAAATTCAGAGGACAGACCAAATTCTGAATATTTACAGTAACATTTTCCAAACCTAATAGTTCATTTGAACATTGTGAACCTCAGGCTCCCACTAAACCCCCACAGCAGTTAGCAGACAAGAGAAAATACCATACCTTAATTTAGTTTTAAGAAAGTCAAAGCCAAGAAAGCCAAATTTCTGTAAAACATAAATTCTTTAGTTCTTCTGAATTAAATTGTTAGTTCTTCTGAGATTTACCTCCTCAAATAGTAACCTTGGAAAGCTAGCAATCTCAAACTTTAAGAACTGTAGATAATCTTGAAACTTTCAATCCACTGAACTGTGACACTTGATGAAATAAATTTAAAGTCTTGTTCTGTACTTAGTCAACAAATGAATACTGGAGCCAAAACACAGTTCTCCTCTGTGGAGGTACCAGTTTTCGGTTTTTCT